AAAAGAGTGAACCATAAAGTGTGGTGGCTAGGTTATGGTTAGGCCAGAAGAAGAGCTGCATTTAAATGAAAACCAGAAAGGGTTTCATCATACCCTGTATCGATCGAGGGAATAAGAGCTTGGAGGGTTCGCTCGATAAGGAGCACTGTGCCTCCTCGTATCTGGAGTGGCGGGCGCCGTCGATAAGGAAACCATCGTGTAGCCAATGGTCTTGAGTAAGTTTTTTGGCAATCGTCCAATTAGAATTGCCGGCCATAAAGTCCAGCTAGCGCCGAGCTCACAGCTCCCCCTCTTGAATGTCCCATCTCTCTATGAATGATTTTCACCTGACTCGATTTATAGGCAGATATCATATTCCCCTCTGGAGCAAAGTGCGTTTAGCAGCGGGTCTTTCTAAATTTTTCCACGGTTCCAATTAGGGCAATTAGTCAGGGAATTTATTTCGATCATAACCATTATTTGTTGTTGAGGTGTTGTCTGGCAATATCTTAAAACGTGATCGAATCAGAGAACCCCTAATAACCCAAATTATACAACGATTGGCATCTTCAGTGATTGATTTTCTTATTGCTCCACTTGATTTTAAACTCTTAGTTACCTAAAGTCCTCCTCCGTAACCAAGTAATTAACTTCAGAGACAAGAGTAATTGGTAAATTTTTGCGTCTTGGATCTTGGAGGATCTTGACCATTATTTGTTGTTGAGGTTGAGAGTCCCAATAACCCAAATTATACAATGATTGGCATCTTATTGCTACTCTTGATTTTACAATCCTAGTTACCTAAAGTCCTCCTCGTAACCAAGTAATTAACTTCAGAGACAAGTGTAATTGGTAAATTTTTGCGTCTTGGAAACATTATGAACCCTTCAAGTACTTCATCTTGTTTGACAACCATTCTCAATGGTCTCTACTGATAATAAAATGTCTTTCTCCTCAAGAAACTTACTTCTACTTCAACTTTTACTTCTTGGCACTTGAATTCCTGGAGGTGGTTAGGTGTTAGCTTAAATATTTATTTAACTATTATTGGAAATTGGATAATTGCATTATTATGTGGCAGAACTTTTGTCGTAATGACTCAGTAATGACTTTTAGTATTTACACTTTGATATTAAGACCCCAAGTAAACAATTCCTGCCTTGTTGGGATGAGATTGCAAAATAACTTTGGGCTCAGCTAGTAGATGTTTTAAACAGGTTTGTTTTGTGGCACCCACTGTGTACCCTCTGCTCTCCTAATTAAAGCTTGTTTCCAACTGATTGCAATTATTGGTGATATTCCATGTGTATTCTGTATGCGTCAGATTCGGTTTGTGCCAGACACTGCCCCTCTGATCCCTCGATTCCCCCTACCGACTCCGACTTTCGGGTCCAAAGCGACTTTATCTATTGCGTAGTGTGTAGTCCACGTAGTTGGTACCGTAGTGGGAAGCGTAGCCCCCATATCTCCGGCTTCTGTGTGCTTTTAATTAAACACATACATCCCCCATCTAGCGTTAGAGTGTACAGAGAGTGCTGTCTTTGGGGTGTATGCTAATATTTACCTACTATATATAGACTCTCCTGATCGGCGTGTTTTTCCTTAGAAGTCACCACACCGAACAAGCAAAATGCTAAGCAAATTTGCCTTTCTTTTCTTTTTCCCTGCAGACTTTTGCGCTGTTTGCGCCAGCAACCTTCAAAGCCGGCGGCCGTGATGGGGCAGAAGGAGGAGCAGGTGCAGGTGCACTCCATGCATGATCATCACATGCTCAAGGACATGTCCAAGGCCGTACGGGATACCACCGTCAAGATCCTGCTGCTGGGCACTGCCGAGTCCGGCAAGACCACCATCATTAAGCAAATGCGGATACTACACATCAATGGATTTACTGATGAGTAAGTATTTAAGGTTGAAGAATTATTAATTGGAATTATGGGGAATGTTTAGAACATGAATGAATTCATTAGAAACAAATTTGGTAATGGAATGAAACATAATTCCACCTAAAGTGATAAATATCGAACAAGGAAACGCAGGAGTGGTGATCACTATCTTTAACTGGAAACCAAGTGGTCGAAAATTTGTCAGGTGTTAGGTTTAATTAGTAGGAAAAATATTTTATTTTCGCATATACTTAAAGACCCTATTCTTCCTTTCTCTTCATTGCAGTGAGCGTCGCGAAAAGATTCCTGAAATATATCAAAATATCCACGAATCCATTCTGCAATTGGTGGGCCAAATGGGTATCCTTGGCATCGACTTTGGCAGCTGCACCAGCGAACGATCCGCCGACTATATACTCTCCCTACCCGGATCCGCTCCCGAGTACATGAACGAGGTGAGTTTCGCTGACGCTTCGAGTGTCCCTAGTATCTTATCCCCGCTGCACTTCAGAATGTGTTGTGTTGTGACATATACTAGTGCTGGTCCGAAAATCCAGGCAAACGACTTTGAAAGCCGCCTAGAACTTGCGTCAAATCTCCGCTGGCTTTCGATCGATCGACTGGCCGTTATCGTTGGACGGCGGCGGGTTTGATTGATAGCCCATCCATTAGACCCATAGGAATGTCTGAAAACTTTCCAAAACAAGTGTGTGTTTTGTAAATCGGACTTCCTGGACTTGGACATTATGATTTTTTTTGTTTGTTTAAGTTTGCGGCAGCTGCAATGTTCTTTGCGGATGATTCATGCCTGGGAGTAGGCGGCTCTCATTTTCAAATACTTATATCTAGTGCCTCCAATGGTCATTATATGGCTTAAGATAAGATTAGCAAGGTTGTCCAAATCTACGAGAGGGCGGGGCACAAGTCACTCACCCAGGGGTTTATGTTTTACCCCAAAAATGAGTAATACCAAACATAAAAAAAACCGAGAGCAAAGAAGGAAGTATATTTTGGGGGTAGCGAAGTTTCCGGGAAGTTTATGACAGATTTATGAATGAAGAAATACCCAAGATATTTGCTCAAAAGCACGTAATATTTATGATAGTAAACCAATCTCCCCGATTCCGACCTATATAATGGGTTTAACGAAACGAACAGTCATGGCTAGGCTTTAGTCAGTCAGTTTTACAACTGGGTTAGCCTTGTAGTTTTTTTTATTGCTGTCTGAGTTAAAGATAAACCCTTAAACCTTACTCATTTTTGGTTTATATTTTCTATATTTGCAGGAGTACTGCGACCATGTCACCACTCTGTGGAACGATGTGGGCATTCGTGCCTGCTACGATCGCTCGAGTGAATTTCCCCTGCTGGATAGTGCCAAATAGTAAGTATTAAAGAAAGTAAACCCCAAAAGAAAGCACCTTACTAACTTTTCTCTCCTTCCTTTACCAGTTTCCTGGACAACTTTGCCCGCATCAGCGACGATTTGTACATCCCAAGCACCGAAGACATCCTCCACAGTCGGAAGATCACAACTGGCATCTCGCAAATCACATTCCGTGTGCCCATACCCAGATGCATGGGTGGTGGCGAGCAGGAGTTCCGCATGTATGACGTTGGAGGCCAGCGGGATCAGCGCAACAAGTGGATACAGGTCTTCGAGGGCATCCAGGCAGTGCTATTCCTGATCTCCTGCAGCGAATTCGATCAGAATCTGCGCGAGGATCCCACCCAGAATCGATTGCAGGAGGCCCTCAAGCTGTTTCGGGCTGTGTGGCAGAATCGTTTCCTAGCCTCCGCCGGACTGATTGTGTTCTTGAATAAGTACGACATCATGGAGAGGAAAATACGGGCTGGTAAGCACATCGTTGACTACTTTCCCGAGTACGAGGAGTTCTGCAAGCGGCCGCAGCAGGACAATTGCTTTGACGAGAGCGACTGGACGAAGATGTTCATCAAGCAGCAGCTGGTGGACATCACCAAGGAGCCCTTCAAGCGGCATTCCCGCAACCAGGTCGATCAGGGCACCTCCGAACGGGAGTGCTATTACCACTTTACGGTGGCTACGGACACTCGGTGCATCCGGGATGTCTTTTGCGACGTCCAGAAGATGATCCTCTCGGAAAACGTGTCCTCCATGAGTCTCTTCTAGCTCCAGCTCTTATCGGATCAGAGCTTCTCAAAGCCTCCCCCCACCAACTGTGATCTAGTAGGGTATTACTAAGTAGCCACGTAGGACCTTAGATCGTAGTGTAGTGGCATCGCAGCTTATACGTTGCCTGGTATAACGCTTTAATACGATTAATTTCGCTCTCACCCCTCTTTCAACTAATGTCTAAACAATAAATTAAGCTTACATTAGCGTAATAAAATCAAAACACACAACCGCAAAAAGTTGCAAGTGGAATTATTAATGCATTTTCTAAAACAAGAGTGATTCTTGGTTATATATCTCTGAAAATTTGGGCTTTGATTGGGCCGTACGTCGACTGCAGCGCTTATTTTGAGACCTTAGGCTTTAATTGATTTTAGTTGGACTGTGTATTATCGTTAATCTCATAAATCAAATTTCCAATGTATATGTTCGGAACTAACGACTTTTTAGCTTTCCTACTGAGACCAAACATATTATTTAACGGTCGATAACTAGCGAAGTGCGGTTATCGCTGTCATTTTGAAATGCTCTCCTCCGAAAAGGTTTGAGTCTAGGCGAATATTTACAAAACTTATAAATCATGTCTTTGTGCCCTCAAAAGCGAATTATATTTTATTTTTGTTTACTTCTCAGCATTTTTATGTTAAAAGCAAAGAATTTACAATAAATATATAATATCGAATGTGTATTCGATTAGTCGAATAATCGAAGGCTGCCCAAGCATGTAAAACTTTGTTTTGACATTTTACTTTGAAGTTCAGAGTGACCAAGGGGAAAATACCAAATATCGCGATTTCGGTATTTTGATATACTTACATTTTTACATTCTACACGAGAATTCTACCCCAAAAACGAGAATTCGACCCCAAGCATGTAAATTGACATTTTGCTTTGATTCAGAGTGACCAAGGGGGAAAAATCCAAGAATATCATAAAATATCGAATTTTGATGCATTATCAACAACCCTATAATTCAACCGTCCATTCACAATTCACAGTTGTTTTTTTCAGTTCGAATCGTCTGTTTCGCCGCCCGGCGATTTTGCTGAAGTGCTGAGTTTCTGAAAAAGTGAAGTGATTGAATCCGAGTGCGGAAGAAGCGCGAGCAAAGTAAATATCTCATAATTATCAGCATCCTAAAATAGTTACGGCGCTTTACGGCCGTACTTGTGTGAGTGCGTGTGCTGCTGATGTTTTCTCTGGTGGTTGTTTTCCGCTTATTTTTGTTGCCCTTTTCGCCGATGCTGCAAGAGGCAAAGCGAAGGAGGAAAAAACATCTCCAGACTTTGCTGATTTAATACTTTATCGATTACATGGCACCGCAAGTTCAGAGGACACCGAAAAAAAGCTACGAAGATGAATGCGAAAGAGGAACGCGTGTTTTTTGCACGAGAGCAAGAGAGCGCCCAAGAACGGGGGGGGAGAAATACAGAGAGAGAGAATTATGGTGTGATGTTTGGAAACATGAAAACCGCTAAGGTTCACGAAATTTCACTAGAAATTTTTGAAAGCGTTCGCGCAAAAACCGGATATGTTACTCGAAAAGAAACAGAAAAGAAATAAAACAACTAAAAAGCTTCCAAAGCGAAGCTTAAACCGAAACAAAATCACCTGTATGTGCGAGAGCGAGTGAGTGAGAGTGCGTGTGCGAGGTGGGGGTGTGAGGAGGTAGGCAAGCTGTCGCGTGTCTGGCATGCAATTAGGCATTCAAATGATTTCCCTCCCACCGGCAAAATGTGTGTGTTTTTTTCAGCCTCATTTGTATTTTTGCTGTTTGCTTATTTATGCATTCCTTTTTTCGAGTTCTTTTTATTCGCACGAGACTTGCCATGGCCAGCGAAAGAGAGAGCGGTAGAGACGCTCTCCCAAAAACCACCACAACTACAGTTACAGTTACCGTTACAGCTGCAGCCACCTCCTCAAATCTCCAACCGCCCCCCCTCCCATTTAGTTTGTGTATCTATTTGAGGTGTGAAAAGCGGAAGAAAATAGATGAAAATGACCACAAAGCGTGCGCCATTCATGAAAAGTGCAAGCGCACCGCTCTTTTGGGCGCGAGAGGGATGGATTTCTGCAAAATCAATGGCATCTTTGTGGCTGGAGAGAGAGAAAGAGCGGGTGGGTGGCTGGGAGGGGGACAAAGGAAGGTCGCCGAGAAGTTTATGCGACAAAACGCGCGCTTTAAACGACAGCATGTGTGTGTGTGTGGCTGGTGTATAAGGGAGTGGTGGGGAAATTTCAAATGAATTTAACTTTGCATATTTCCGTGCAAATTCCGCATTACGTGCGTAATTAATTAATATAGAAAATGGGCTTTAGCAAGGATAAGTAGAAAGTTAAACAATTCAAATTCCACTAGGCACCTGTTTTTTAAAATACAATTTATATCGAATGTATTGTATAGTTTCTCCTAAACAACCCTTGAAAAAAATTACCTCTTAAAATGGTGAAATTTTTATTCTAAACACTTTAAGTTAGACTAAAGATCGTACAGTAGTTATTAGATATTTTATCTCTATATACAATATCAAATTTTCAAAATATTTCAAATGAAATTAATAGTCAAAATTCGAAGTTTTGTTTTGAACATAAAAAACCAATATATTTATAAAATCTTTAGACGTTTAAAGCTTTCAAAAGGAAATAAACCATTCAAGAATTTAAATAGTATACTGTTGTACATCAAAAGGTGAAATCTATAAAAATGCCAAGCAAAAACAAAACTTGGAAACTTAATTTATTTTATTGATAAGTAGTAAAAACTTGCCTTATTCGGGTCTAAGGTTCTTTTTATTTGTTAGAAATTCTGTGTATATAGTAAATTTAAAGACATATTCTTAAAAAGTAATTCAATATTTTATAACTATATTTTGCAGCACTGAAGCCAAAGCTAATATAGCCACCAAAAACAGAAACACCATAGACCCACCACAATGATCAACATGGATATTAGCGTTACGCCCAACTACTCGTACATCTTCGACTTTGAGAACGACTTCATACACCAGCGGACGCGCAAATGGATGCTGGAGAACTGGACATGGGTGTTCTACTACTGCGGCATCTACATGCTGGTCATATTCGGTGGTCAGCACTTTATGCAAAATCGGCCGAGGTGAGTCTATATCTAAATCTGTCTGACAACTCTGCAAAATTTGCTGGAGCGAACCTTGGCGCTTATTATCAGCAGCAGCAGTAGCTACCAATAATTACACCCACAAGTCTGGCTGGGACTTTGGCCAGCAGCTGGCAATAGAGAACACAGAATTGCGGAAATCCAATCCCATCGCAGTTGATGATGATAGATACCTGGAAAACCTATATTTATTCTATCGCACTTTGTTTTAGTTAATTCCACGTACTGATTGAACGTAGGCGGAGTGTGTGTAATCCATAGTGTGCAGCTGTTGAGGTTCCAAATGTAATTATATAGAAATTATAGCTAATCAACGGGATAAAATTGCAGGCAAGGCCTTCACTTACACTCGATTACCAAAGCAATTGCATTTTCCACTCAGCAAACAAATCATGCAGTTAGGTCTGAAAGCTAACAACCAAAAAATCTTTGATTTTGTGCAATTTTCGGGTATTTTTCTGCGACCTGTCAACGCAAAACTGCCTTGTTACCTGACTGTTACCTGTGATGGCTTCAATTGGCCTTCCGTGCTGACAATTGTCTCATTTCGTTTCGCTTCGTTTTTATTTTGTTCTCTGTCTCTATTTCTAATTGTCGTCATCGCGGCTTCGTGGCCAAATTAAGTTGGACTCGTGACATGCCATCTGTGGGCGCTTATTTCATTTTATTTCGTTTTGGCAAGATCATAATTTTGTCACCTGTTTCGGGGCCTGGATAATTGCACATAAATTAATGTAAAGTTAATGTCGAACTGTTGTGAAACCTTACGATATTTCCTTTGATTAATTTATGTCAGGGTTTGTTTTGACGAACTTTTATTTGCACACTGAAAAGCGCAATTGTCCAAGTCATTAGAATATTGAACCAAACCAAACTATTAGCTTAATGAGGCAATTTAAAGAATACTTAGGGGTTAAACTTATTTATAAATTCAACTGCATCTTATTGCATTTAGAATTTCCCGAAATTATATAAGGGCTCCTTGATTTAAACTTGAAAAGCGCAATTGTCCAAGTCATTAGAATATTGAACCAAACCAAACTATTAGCTTAATGAGGCAATTTAAAGACTACTTAGTGGTTAAACTTATTTATAAATTCAACTGCATCTTATTGCATTTAGAATTTCCCGAAATTATATAAGGGCTCCTTGATTTAAACCTGAAAAGCGCAATTGTCCAAGTCATTAGAATATTGAACCAAACCAAACTATTAGCTTAATGAGGCAATTTAAAGACTACTTAGTGGTTAAACTTATTTATAAATTCAACTGCATCTTATTGCATTTAGAATTTCCCGAAATTATATAAGGGCTCCTTGATTTAAACCTGAAAACCCAATGAATATTATTTCACTTTCAATGTCATTCAATATCTCCAATTTTTTTCAATATTATTTTGAAGAGTTTCTCTAAAAACTAATAGATGAGATAACATAATTTTTGGAAAATCAATCCCCTGCCCACACTGCCACACAGCCTACGTCTCTGGAGAGCCATATAGGGGCTTGGCCGGTGGCCCTTGGTGGCGGCTCTATAGTAGTTTAGCTCCCTCCTCGGTCCGACATTTTCTGTTTAGTTATTGTATACTCGGCTTTTTCGGAATGCCGTTTCAATATTTACCCACATGGAGGAGAGACGACGGGCTAAGCAAACGGACGTCGACGGACTTGGTACAGAAAGGTGTGAATTGAATGGGTTGGGAGCCAGTTGGGAGGCGGCAGGCGCTTGCCATGCTTAGAGACTTGATGTTAAGGGGGGGCTGGAGATGTGGATCCAAGGTACAAGGATCACTCAAGTTAATTAAAACACAGGGTCGCACCAGACTTTATCTTATTAAAAACAGTGTTCAGACAGAAGATCTGTATCTTCTAGGTGAAATTCCCTCGTTTAATCAGAAAATATATGCTTAATGTGTAGTGAAATTAATAAAGAGAAACCTACATTGAATATAAATCACAATATAGTGAATATTTATTCATCATTAACATAAAAACGTGACTTCTTAGTAATTTCGCAAAGTGAACAACAGAGCAAAGTCTCTCTCTCTCGATATTCTACAAGTCGCTGACTTATGTTAGAAGAACACTGCACACACATAAATTAAGAATTAATTAATTAAAGTTCCCTCAAGTTCAAGAGTCTACAGTTTGCCTTAACAATATATGCAAGGAATGGGCGGCTAATGCAACTGAAAATATTCCACGAATGCAACATTGCCTTTACCTTTATACCTTGTATAAATGCACCAATGAACTGGCTTTGGTTACTTTGTGTCTTAATTTTTGTTTCCCACGTGTGTTGTTTTCTACTACTTTTGGTGTGTTTGTCCACAAGAGATTTTGTGTAGATATCAAATCGGCAACTGTATTTGTACAATAATATACGTAACATTCATAACTATGTACGGCATAGCCTGGCTGTCTGTTATCAGGCCCGGCGTTGTCACCACGCCGCGAATCCATTGGAAATATTTCTCGGCTCGGCTCAACGCGACTCGCCTCGACGCGCCTCATGCCCATGCCCATACCCATCCATGTGAGCTCGCCGGTGCCTTATCAACGGAGCCCGAACACGCCACAAACATATAGAGCCCCGGAACACTTCTCCTCCGCCACTGGCAGTGCCCCAATACCCCGGTTCTTGGAGCTGTTTTTTCCCTGCCGTAATTGCTTATGATATCATTTGCCATGATTCACAAAAATCGAGTGAGCGGGGCAGGGATTGAATGCACATAGCGTAGAGTATGTACATACATACAATTACGTGTATTTACATATTTTTTAGAGAGTGGACGACCGCCACTTGCATTCCTCCTCATGAAAGTGGGCTCGTTTTTTTTTCACTCGTTTCGGACAGTGAGCTATTAAAGTCATTAAACTGATTAGGTTTATAGTAGGTACACGCCATGTCGTACCCCGTTTTATTTCATTTTTTTTATATTTTACATACCTCACTGGGCAAAGTTCGGCACGGACCACAGAGCGGAGCATATGGCATGCAAGAAGTGGGTGTGTCCATCCACCATGTCGGGGGGTTTAGTTAGGCACCAGAACAGGACAGGACAGCAGGACATTCACTTATGTACACGCTCGATTGGCCCCACTTCAATTGGTCAAAAAGTACACTAGACCACTTGAATCCACTTGGGCGTGACATTTATGTTCTCTTCAATAGAATAGAAAACTTAGAGGTCCTTAAATAATTTACACATATTAAAGTTTCCCGAATTTTAAGTTGAGAATTTTAGCTTGAATATGTAAGTGTGATGAAGATGGAAACACTAGCCAACAAACTAAACTTTATTTAAATTATGATTCATAAAATGTTTGCCAAAAGCGAATGCCATAAAAGGGTGTTGTTTTGTTTTTCTTGTTTTTTTTAAAGCTCGTTTTACGCATTAACCTTAGACAATAAAAACATGAAAGGTATCTTGATACCTTTCCTAAAGCTGAGTTCATTAAGTTCATTGGCTTTGTTTTTTATTTTTCGTTATGGTTAATAATTAATGGGTGAGATCAGCTGGAAGCTGTGTCAAGTAAATACTTAACTCTATAACAATAATTTTTATCCCAACTTGAAACGTTTTACACTAGCAAATCGTTCAAACAGATTATTAACTTCCATAGATACTAATTCATCAATCGGATATCAAATAAATAGTATAGCTAATTATTCTGACATTGCATTAATTACTTTTTACATCTCGAGACTAAAACTTGATATGCTAATGAAACGTGACCTATATCAAGAGACTGAGTGTTTAGATACGTGAGGGAAGATAGCTTTACAAGTGTCAGATAGCTCAAACAAATGGCTAATAATGTATCTACAAAACACAGTTCGAGTTGAGCAGTGTATCTTTGGACTTTGCGTGTGCCAACGTTTTGTGGCCATAAAAAGGGGCTGAGAATAGTGTGTGGGCGCTGTTGCCTGGGTCTTACAATGGAAACCCCATACGAAGAACTTTGGCGTACATACTACAGTGGTACAAAATAAGCATTATTAGTAATCATATATTTAAGTTTTGATTGATTGAGTCACTCATTGGCCTTGGGCCTTTGCCTGCCTGCTGCTTATTCATTTTCCTTCGAGGAAGTATATATATTTATGGAAAGTGGGACGAGGACGTTGGAGTACAGAGACCCCAAAAAATCTCTCCCACTGAAAAATGTCCTTTAATTTGGTTTTATCACGACAGCAGTAACAGGGAGCTTTTTTGGGTATATTTTTAATTTATTTATTTATTTACTCCTCTACATGCGGAACCGCGACTGTGGCAATTACATAACAACATTAATTTGCGAATTAAACAAGTAATTGCAATGTCTCGAGTGTATGTGTGTGTGTGGAGTTCACCCTCCCGTAATTACAATTATAACCACAATTAACAATTACCAGCCAGCATTTAGTTAACAATTACAAACGCCAACAGCCTGAAAAATAAGTCAAGAAAACATGACGAAAAACGTGTGGAGCTCTTGCTGAAAGTGAAACTTAATTTAATTTTGGCTTTATGTATATATGTATGCATGTACATATATTAACAAGAAATTAACAACAACCGTTAACAGCAAACAAACAAAAAGTAGGCAGAAAGCTGACAGGCAAATCTTGTTGAAGTATGTCATTTAGGCCGCGTTTAAGACGCATTTAAGCCGCATTTCTTTATAGGCCTGCCTTGATCTTGTGCCACATACAATACCATTTTTTCGGGAGCTCTCTCTCTCTCTCGATATAAACTATATAAAGCTTGCCCGGAAAAGCTCTCTCTCTTGTCCGGATGCCCTTTCTTTGCCCAGCATCATCAGTATCTCTGTTTGGTCGAAATCACGCCACCTTTACGCACTTTTACTTTTCACCTGGCTGCTTCTTCGTCGTCTCAATAACACAGAGAATAACTCGTTTTGGTATTTCGGCCAACAAAAATTGTTTTGACTTTGGATTTCCGATGATCGAATTGATGTCTGGGCGGCGGCGCTGGCTTATCGTCGCACCTGTTGCAGGTGTGTGTCACTACCCGAAAGAACCTACTTCTGCTTATGATGATGATGAGTCAGCTCTAGGTTTAGGGAAAAACAATTGAGTTTCCCTTTTTCGTCATAAACCATTCTCTGACTGATTAGATTTGAGACTCTCTGAAGATCTGAAGCACTTTCAGGTGTGAAATTATTAAGTTTCTAAACGGGTTTAATTGGCATTAAAGTGGGTAGGCGGGTCACTGAGTTTACGTTTAAATTTGAGTTAAATGGAGAGTTTAATTATAGCCGAGTGGTATAATTAAAAGAAATTTAAAGAAATTATGGCCATTAAAAGGTTAGCCACTTGATATACAGCTTATGTGATAAGTAAAGCACATTATAAGGACCCAAATTGGGAATAATAACACTTATTTTCTACAGATTCTCTATAGTTTATAAGGTTATTATAGCTTAGATTCTCTTGCTTTTAAACTAATTATAATTTCAAAAAACCTTTTACTTTAAAAGCAGTCAAAAGGTATCTGGTTTATTTAGCCCCATTAATTTTAATAGGTTTCCTCAGGCGAACACTGATTAACCATTGGCTAAAAGTGCAAAAAATACAAAACAAAAAACCTTTCACAACATTTTTTTCGTTGCACTCTGAAACTCGGAAAGCGGTCAACACAATATGTTGGTCAATGCTGTGACATCCAAGCCAATCGCTGTGCAAAATATAATGAATAATAATTAAAAATAAATTTAAAAGCAAAACCTTAATTTTTTGGCTTCAACATAAACCCAGAAAGTTGAGCTCAAAAGAGTTTTGCAATGCGATGAAAAAGAAAAAAAAATGAAACAAACCATCAGTTTCGAGACAATGTTGCGAATTTCTTAGTTCGTGTATATGTATATATATATGTATGTATTATGTATATGGAAAAGTGTTGGGCATGTAGAGACGGGGCTTTACTGCATAAATCAACCTAAACAATCTCAAAGCTTAACTTGGGCCAAAAACCCAACCGAATTCAAACCAAGCCAAAGTCAAGCCGAACACAATAATCAATTGACCAACATTCATTCGTTTTTCCTTTTTGCAGCACTTTGTTTTTCCCCTCGTTTTCCTCATAGTTTGCACTCAAAAAAAATATATACTCGAGGTTTTATAAATGTAGATTTAAATATAAATATTAAAGCTGTATTTATAAATTGTTCCAATAATTTTAAATATGCTTTTGGCATTACCTATAATTTTACAAAGATGTTTTCTTTAAGAAAATAACATTTTTTAAGTAATAATTAATTTAGATTAAAACTAAAACTGATTTCAGAGCTCACAAGTCACCTTTTTAGCTTAAAAATATGGCTTTTAAAGGTTCTCTCAAACAATAACTAAATAAATATACAAAAATTACAAAAAATTAAAAAGAAAGCTGTAATTTTCTTTCCCAAATTTTAAGACTTCTGTAATGGAATTTCTTTATTACAAAAAGCCCATTGTTTAGGTTATTGTGTTAATTTTGTATTTTCGACGAGTGCAGCAGTGTTTACATTAGTTTGTTTTTGTTGACTTGCATAATGCGTCTGTGTGTGTCTCTCCCCTTTTGTTTACATATTTTGCAAAATCAGGTTTACTCCCCACCTCCCCTTACCCGTCCTTGGCTTTATCATTGATTGTCGCCGCTTTGCTCTCTCTCTTCCACAAAGTCGGCGAATTTCTTTCTCTTTGCTTATGCAATTTTCGCCACAAAGTGAAAACAGAAAGAAAGTTCACCAACTTCCCCTAATTCGAGCTCTGTCATCGTGATTATGATAAAACAAGTTATGCAGTCAAAAAAGATTGATAACTTTGGGACATTGGAGGAGGAGACATTGTAACAGAGGTTGCAGATTTTTTTTTGCTATTCGAATCTTGGGATTGTTTATGTAAGTTTTGCTTTTAGTTAACGAAATACAAACTTAAGGCTTTAGATACTATATCAGTTGGTTTAATAAGTAATCTCAACTCCACAGTTTTAGATACTTGAAAATATATTATTTATCGGGCAGATCGCAAACACCCAGCCAGGCGGTTGGCACCCAGCAGCGATCCCCGGACACAAAGTAGGTGCCCAGCTAGCGCCGCCGGACACCGTTCACCTGACGGCGAAGGGGACGACCTGTGCCCTTACAAAAATTGAGCTTCGGGGGATGAATGAAGCACACATCCCCCTGCCTTGAAGCCAATACTGCCAAGCGGTTAGCAAGGCCTTGTTTGGTTTTCCTTACTCATTAGTTTCAGGCACAAATTGCTGACTGCCAGCGAGTGGAACTCAATGCAGGGGCAGCCAGAAGCAGTTGGGAATCGTAGGGCACGTTGGTGGGGCATAAAAGTTGTTCAAACGAAAAGAGCTTTTCAGGGTGGAATTTTAATTCGTTAAAGGATTTTTTAAGTAAATTTATTGTTTACTTTTTTATTTCCTTACTTTTTAAATTACCTAAAAATATTTTGACAATGTTTAAAGCTTTTTTAATGTCTAGTTAGGGCTAATCTTAACTATAAATTGAGGAAAAGTTCGTTATCTAATAGATAACAGCGTGTTTCTCGTTTCGGTAATTGTCAACTCTATTACTATTAACTTTGGTATTGAAGTTTCGTGTGGAATATTTAATTTAATAAACAAAAAATTAAAATAAACAAAGTCAATTCAAATACTATAAGGGTTGGAATACCCTGGTCTTTGAAAAGCTATTCTTTTCTTTTGGTTTCCCTCCTGGCCTGCTGGCATTGAGCTTAATTGTGATTAATAGAATAGAAGATTTTTTAAGATGGAACTCAATGCCTTAGTTGAACATTTCCGCTCTGTGGTCTTAATTGTGTATTACAGTGGGGCACTGAGACTTGTGTGTCTATGCAAATCTCTGCCGGGTTTCTGAGTGAGCTCTCCTCCTCGCTGGGTTGATTGCCGTCGATAAAAGTCGGTCCTAAAACACATAATCTTTATGGCATTGTTTGGCGGGGAATTACGGGCTATCGATTGCGTTTTTATGAACACAACACAAACCTTTGACGCATTTCAAAAACCTTTCCTATTTACTTGAGTGTTCCGGAACTCTAAAACTCTCTAAACTTTCTGCTTAAAAATATTTGCAACGTTTGACTTCACCCCCCTGCCAAAGGTTAAAGCTATCAATTTTCGGCATTTTCTGATAACAGAAATCACATTTCTGTGCGCGTTTTATGACTAATTGCCGCTTGAAGTGGTCTCGCCCAGGTGGGTCTGGGAACTGGGGACTGGAGTGTGTATACAGTATAGTAAATCGAGCCATCGATAAGGTTGGCCAATTGATTTGCCTGGCCAGCCATTGATTGCGTAAACCTAATTACAAATAGCAGATTAAGGAAACTATATTTGAATCAGTTTTTAATTTGAGTCAAGTCGTTGACTGATACGATTTTTAAATGCTGGCTGATTCCCATCAAACCGAAACTCTTTTTATTTAATTTCTTTTAAAGCTCTGTTGGTTTATTCAAATGCTAAACCAGTATTTTTTTTGGTTCGAGCAACTTTTGATTTGTGGAGAACTCATTTAAGAAGACAATAAAGAATCTCTTCTTTCAAGGCACGTGTTTTGGTCTTCCCTGAGATTATTGAGAATCTTTTGCTTCACTCTGTTGACCTTGTCAGCGCAAATTTGATATTTTTTGAAAGACAGCAACAAAGTCATTATTGACTGTAATCAGTTAGTTCATCTCATGACAGAGTCTAATCTTAATTTAATAGCACTGCATCGAACGATCGGCTGAATTGACTGTTAAAGCTGCTTGTTTGTTTAAAAATAAAAACCTGGCCTGACGACAGAGATTACCCGTATTGTTTTGGGATAACTCTGGGCTCTGGAACCAGGATTTCGATTTGGATGATCAATTAGTAGTTGACCCTGTGACATATTCGAGTTGTAGGTTGATGTCATTGCATTACACAGAAATTCGCACATATTAAGTGCAAATACTACTTGATCTTTGGCTGCAATAGGGGGAAAAATAATTGAAAAACAGCCAAAGTTTGTTGATCTTTACTTTTTTTTTTTTTCCTCACTGCGATTTCTCGCCTATTAGCCGCGAGTAAATATGCATAATTTAAAGTGGAAACTAACGTCGTAGTCTGCTAGAATTTGTGTAGGGAGTAAATGCACGCAGAAAAATTTTAAATTTAAATATTAAATACATTTTTTTTTAGATTTATTTCATTTGGTATTAAGCTAATGATTCAATACGGGGAATTCGATATCAAAATGCCTTTACCAAGTCACGTTCCAAGTGCAAAACCTACTTAATATTCTTAATAGACTTTCTCAATGTACTTTTCCACTGTATTTTTCCTGGCTAATATCTTGCTAAACTTTCCGTTCCTTAATCTCTCTCTTTACAGATTTCAACTGCGCGGCCCGCTGATCATATGGAACACAATGCTGGCCATGTTTAGTATTATGGGTGCTGCTCGAACGGCACCGGAGCTGATTCACGTGCTGCGTCACTACGGACTCTTTCACTCTGTCTGCGTGCCCAGGTTGGTATTGTGTGTGCATCCCAATCGGACACCCAGTTCAGCCTTGAACTTGGGTAACTGGATTGCGATGCAAATGTAAGGCTCTGAGCGTTCATTGACCGATCCTCTGATTCCCAAATCCACAGCTACATCGAGCAAGATCGCGTATGCGGCTTCTGGACCTGGCTTTTTGTACTCAGCAAGCTGCCGGAGCTGGGCGATACGATATTCATTGTGCTGCGCAAGCAGCCTTTGATTTTCCTGCACTGGTGGGTTACTTAAAAGTTATTTAGAAATAATATTAGACATTAATTGAGTATTAAATAAATTAAATTATAGCATTAATGAATATTTATGAATTATAACTGATTGAAACTTTTGAACTATGGATTTTGATCTAAGAAATCAGGAAACTTGGTTTATATTTACAAATTAAAAGCGAGAAACCAAGTTCATAAAAAGCTTCTACATATATTTCTATTATTTATTGCACTTTTTGCTTTGAAATCATATTCCCTATCAATCTCTATCAGTTGTTAAAGCCAATACTAATTTACCTTTGCCCCCTTGCAGGTACCATCACATCACCGTGCTGATCTACTCGTGGTTCAGCTACACGGAATACACCAGCTCTGCACGCTGGTTCATCGTGATGAACTACTGCGTCCACTCCGTGATGTACAGCTACTACGCTTTGAAGGCAGCTCGCTTCAATCCGCCCAGATTCATTGCCATGATCATCACGTCGCTGCAGCTGACGCAGATGATCATTGGGTGTGCGATTAATGTCTGGGCCAATGGTTTCCTGAAGACGCACGGCACCCAGTCATGTCACATTTCGCAGCGCAACATCAACCTGTCGATTGCCATGTACTTCAGCTACTTTGTCCTGTTTGCGCGCTTCTTCTACAAGGCTTACCTGGCGCCCGGTGGCAACAAGAGCCGGCGCATGGCCGCCTCCCTTGCTGCCCAAAATGCGGTCAAGCAGTCGCCACCCCAGATCAGCGAGAGCTCCAAGTTTATTGCTGGCGCTGGCGAGGATCAGTCTGCTGCCTATCTGCGTCGAGCTAAGGCGCAGTAAGGATGCCGATGGAACTCCCACATCACCACACTACACGCACCACACCACACACCAACAACCACTTCCCCCCTGTTAACGGCTAAGGACCTTTAATTTATGTAGAGCGGTGTACAAGTTGTTTTTTAATTTTAATCCTGAAACACACACACGACCAGTCGGGAGAGAGTTTAATTTGTAAGCGAAAAGTTTGTAAAAGGGGTCAACCATATATCTGAACATGTATATAAGAAACACACACAGAAAAACACAGACAAACCTGATGAAAGCTAAACGAAAACCTAGAGCCAGCGTAGAACTGTAGGTGTAGAAGGAGTTCAGGGATGAACCCAGTCAAAAACGGGGATTTTATCTGCTTAAATAGTTACTGCATGAGTTTTAGCATGAGTTCAATTTATAGTCACTCTCTTAAGCCTCTACGTACAGTGTGTTTCCCCAGCTGCAGTTCTATGTCGTTGCATGTCCCTTTATGCGTGTGTTGTCAAAGCCCAAAGTCGTTTATATATCAATATATATAGATTATATAATTTGCATAACTAATGACAGCCGCTTAAGAATAACAACCAAACTCCTGGGCCTTATGTTATGCAATGTTTGCCTCCTCAGGTAGGATTTTGTGTTGTTGCCTCCCAAAAGTGTTTAGTTAAAATTCTCAGCAAGAAGGTATCAGACTCCTTGGCTCCACTGCTTTTGCGATTTATAGTCAGAGAGAGCTTTGTCTTCAGTTTGAATTGTAGTTTTTGGGGTCTGAGAACTTTCTACTCTAAGTCTATACGCATATATATAAATATATATATTTATAAAACCTATATTAATGGAATATTAAACGAAAAGTGAAACCAATAACAACAAGAAACCCTATAAGTTAGTCTATTATTGTTCCAAAAGATCCAGAGCGCAAATTGTTATTTTGTAAAGTAATAAATCGTTTTGAAATCTGTATAAATTAACGTATAACCTTTTGTAATAGTCGCATATTGATTATTCCTATAAATTCTGCTGTCTGATGGGAAAAATAAAGGTAAAGCACCCAGTCAAGCAGCATTATTTTCCAAGGAGAGTCATAAATGCTGTGAAAAAGGTTGCTATTCAGTTTAGGGGAAGGCATTTATTTTAGTTAAAAACTGTGTTGAATGCATTTCTATATAGTTTCTTGTACACTCTGCTTAAAAAAAAAGAAAAACACTTGGAAAACGGAAAACAGAAAGTTTCTACACAAAACAAAAGTAAAGAAAAGTCCTTGTACGTAACAAAAAAAAAAAAACACAAAATAACGAGAAAAAGTTTAAATTATATTTATATTTGTAAGCGACCAGAGGAATGAAGAGCACAGATACCAAGAAAATGAAAAGCAAAAGTCCTACTTGAAAAGTTAATTTAGTGTAAACGAGGAAACTGTAACTGAAACTGAAACTGAACTTGCAAATGATAATGAAAGTGAAGCTGAAGGAGGATCGTGTGAATGGAGAGGAGTTACTCTACAAAAGTCGAGAGAGAGAGAAAGTAATTGATACGAACAAATTTAACACTTTCGTCTGGTAGAATTACTAAGCGAAACAAAACTAAAATTGAGAATGCTAAAAACAAAAATCAACGGATAAATAAAACGTAACAAAATGGAAAAGGATGGAAAAAAATACAAGCTTGTTTTATTTGGGGAAAATACATTAAAAGTTAATTTAATTTACATTTAAAAGATATAAAATATTAGACCTTTTGATTAATTTTACCACTAAAATACAGGTAGTCCTAAAAATGAACTTTTTTACTATAACCGATTTTCAATTAAATTCAATGAATTTAAATTTCCTGTTATTTTAAATTTACATTTTTGTGTTTACCAGCTTTCCATCATTGCTGAAGTTTTCTATTATTTACCGATTTTACTTCAAATATTCATAGAATTAGAGGTTTTTCCGCCATGGTGTATAATTTAATATCAAAAAAGTTTTAAACATCAGTAGAAGTAAAAAATGTGTCAAATTAATGTGTACTTCCCAATTGGTATGTAGAAAAGGGGTCGAATTCCCAATTGGTATGTAGAAAAGTTGTCGAATTCCCAACTGGTAATGAATTTCCGATTTTTTTAAATTAAAAATGTAAGTAAAACCCCCCACTTTGGGCTAAAAAACTAATTTTCTTTATCAAAAATTAATAATAAAATTAAAAACTATAACTAGCCCGACTTGAGTACCTCTAAGATTAATTAAAGAAGTTATGTGCCAAATTTCAAAATTATGGGTCCAGTAGATTTCAAAATATCCCACACACTACGGTCTTACTAATCGATTTCTGTTTCTGGATTTTAATGTTTTTCGCCACGCGACCACACAACTATTCGAATGAGATTTTCCATCTTATCAGCGCGGTCACACTGGTTTTTGTTTCTGTACGTTTCGGTTGTGGATTCCAATTCGATCCGTGGCCGTGCGTGGAAAAAATGCATAGATATAGATAAGACAGGCGCAAGAGATCAGATATCTATATCTCCGCGGAAGAGAGTGCCAGAGGCTTTCGCCTGCGGATTTGTGGAGCCGTGAAAAGGAGCCCCGAACGAGGGAGTTGGAGCGAGTGAAAGAGAGCGAGCCAGAGCCAGAGGCGGAGGCAGCGAAGACAAAGTGCATTTTCAGGGCGTGTTTTGTGGCCCCCCCCGCTCGAACACGGCCCCCTCCCTGCCCCCGCACAGCCTCCCACTCGTCGGGCGGCGGCGGCGACAAATAAAAGTTTGCCACAAACATGCTGCAAATTCGCCAATAACAAAAATACAAAGTCAAGCGGAGAAACAACAAATAAAATCGCAAACTTCCTTTTCTGCGTGAGTGTGCGAGCTGCGTGTGTAAGTGAGTGAGTGTCTCCAATCTTTTTTGTCTACTCCAAAACGCAGAAAGAGAGAGAAAAATGTGTGTGCCAGTGTGTGTGTACAAGTGAAGTAAATTAAAGCAAAGCAAAAGGCAAAACGGCAAATAATTGAGCGAAAAAGCAACGGAAAGAGCGGAAAAATCAAATAGTAGTAGTAAGCGAAATAACGGCAAAAGGAGCCGCCAATCAGAGAGAGGGAGAGAAAAGTGTACAAGTTGTTGTTGCTGCTGCGCAGGAGCGAAAGACAGCGAAAAAACCACCCACAACCCCCTTTAAGGCCACCACCCGCCCACAAATGGGTGCGCAGCAGGGCAAGGACAGGGGCTCCCACTCGGGAGGTGGCGGGGGCGGAGGAGTTGCCCCCGTCAGCTGCATTGGTCTCTCAAGCAGCAGCAGCCCCGTTGCATCCGTCTCGCCGCACTGCATCAGCCTCTCTGGCTCCGGGGGCAGCAACGCCCCCCTTGGCGGCGGCTCAACGCTCCGTGGCTCCCGCATCAAATCCTCATCCGCCGGACACAGCGGCAACAGTGGTGGAGGAGGAGGCAGCAGCAGTGGAGGAGCAGCGGGCGGTTCTGGAGGATTGAGCCAACGCAGCGGTGGACACAAGGACCCTAGGTGCAATCCCTCCGTCGGACTCAACATATTTACCGAACACAACGGTAAGTCTCGTTTGTTTTTCCTCCGATTTGCACCTGCATGTGGGATACACAGAAAATTCATGCAAATTTCCATCATTTTCCATATCGATGGTTATATTTTGTTTTCCTGTGTGTATTTTGTATGAGATTATGTAAATATCATTAGGAAAAAGGGAACCAGTATGGCACCCCATTTCACCAATACACAGAAATCTAAGAAGTGCATGCAGCATCCAAGCTCAGGTGTAAATTTCATCAAAGTGTCGTGATTTTTTCTATTAACCACAAAAATGGTTTCTCTTTGTGAAATTGCCAAGCGTTTGAAAACTTTAGATTTGATTTCCTCTGAAAATAAAACCTTATTCTGTGGTTATGTCTTTATTAGAAATCTTTGTACAAATACAAAACTTACTTAAATTTCTTATTAAAAATTATGAAAAATTGCTTTCACTGTATGAAAAATAAGAAAATGAAAACAAAGTAGACAGGTTTTCATATATCGTTGCAATTTAATCTCAGGTGTAAATATCATGCGAATTTTGATTTATTTCCGCTGCTAAAATCATGTTTTTATTGTACATAAAATCCATAAAATGAAATTCTCCTTTGTCTCATCCTCTTTGTGCCCCTCTTTCTTGTCGTTTCACTCCCCCTGTGTCGCTTTTCATGCTGGCTTTCCAATTGAGCTAATTTCTTTTTCCCATTTGCTTCCGATTATATTGGGAATTATTGTTGTTATTTGCCGGCTAGTTTCCTTACTTGTTGTTGCTTCGCCGCTTCTTTTGTTGACAGCCGAGAAGGAGGAATAGGGAGAAAGAGAGAACGAACATGAGAGAAGTGGAATGAGAGAGAGCAACACGCGGCGATTTGATGGAAATGTTATGTTGTTTTTGTGCTATTTGGGGCGGTTTCAGTTGATGTTCCGTTCCTTTTCTCCATCATCCTTTATGCCTCGTACTCGCTTTGTACTCGCTTCTTCACTCTCCATTCTTCCATGTTCTCCATCCTTCACATATGGCACCCTTATCCCTTTTCCCTTATCCCTGCCACCCGCACAGTGGTTGAAATTGCGACCCAAGAACGCGAGGAGCACCGTTATATGCATCCCACCCCCGCTGACATTGGCACTTCCACTTCCTCTACTTCCTCCATATATCCACAACCCTCTTTTGGTGTTTCCCATTTCACGCACATTTTTATTACATTTTTCCTTGTCTAATATTTTCCTATTATTTGCCTTGGCAAGTTGCAACATTTTCCTGGCCGCCGCCCCCCCATTTCCGCATTTTCTCTACTCTCTGGCATTTATTTACTTAGCCTTCCCTTTGCCCGTAATAGCCTTTTTATGTCCCTGTCGTCGATGTCCTACCACAATAGGAGCACCCATTGAGTGGGATACCCGGATTTGGTATAAGGGATAAAGGATAAGGGTGCCGGAAACATATTTGTAGGATTTTAATAGTTTAAGAATTACCATGGAAAGTTACCAAGTAGTGGGTCATGGGGAATAGAAGCTTAGCGTGCTCACAAATTATTAACAAATGTTAAACAAAAGCTTCAAAGTTTAAGCATTCAATACAGAGCCATATAAGGCGGAAAAGTTATTGCCATCGAAAGGATTTTCTCCATTGTCCCATCATCTATCCCGCTGCAGTTTCTTATCTCGCTACAGCCAGAGCCTTCCTTCCGTCTCCCGCCAAGCAATTTGTAATCAATTAATGCTATTTTTATTGTAATTAGTCGCTTATATTGTGTGCACTCGGGTTCACTCAATCTCATTGCTAGAGTCATAAGAGTCAGGCAAGTCGCGCTGATAAGCCGGTTTCCATATAAATATTTATGGCTGCTCGTAGTATTGAGTCATCCATTGGCTCTCATGTAACTCGAATACAGCGAGTTCAACATAAAGCCCAAGAAAATACGACAAATTTCCAGTTTCGTGCAAGCGAATTTCCCACACAGAAAATTCACATTTATTTGCTTGCCAAACTATTCAGAGCTTACAGAGAGGAGCATACTAGTGGCGTAGCCCATCCAAAAAGGTCGAAAAGGGGGCTTTCAAATTGCCTTTTTCGTATGTCTGTCTGGTCTGCAAAATGCAATTACAAAATTACAATGTAAAAACTGTGTCTGGGCCTGCAGATTACAAGCCGACACAAATCCCCAAACAGCAGAAACGGAAAGCCCAACTCACCGCAATTGTCAGTCCGGGGTCGATCTCGCCATTGGCGGCGTCGGTGGCAGCGGGTCACGTGGGGGAAATATGGGGGAAAGTCGCGCAACGGAACTCCAGCTCTCAATCACAGCTGAAATACAAGTACACACACATACGTAACCTAGGCACAGTGGGAGATATTGCAGAAAATCAGCTGTATTGCAGTTTTAACTGAAAGATAAATAATTTTGATTGTTTATTCAGGTCTTGTAAAGATGATATTTGTCTCTAAGAAGAATTGTGTTATAATATCCATATCTTGTTCTTAGGCAGTGGTGTTCTTGAAGACAATTGAGAGGTGAATAAAATATTGGGAGTTATCATATCTTAAGTCTTTCAATTGCTGATTTTTAACAAAATATCCCTGCTTATTTATAACCAATCAAGGCAAATAAATTAAAGTTGTATGCAAGATAAGAATCCCTTTCAGAGGAATACATTTATTTATACCAGCATTCTAGTTATTGACTATCTATTCCCACAATTCATAATACGTACAGTTCTTTTTAGAGATGATATATATAAACTTGATATAAAACATTAAACTTCCTTGCCTTTCTCTTGAATACTTACTTAAGCCTTGAGACTATTAAATATTATAAAGGAAATGTCTTTGGCTCACACATAACTGTCTAATATTTAAGCTAATTACCCAACTAATACCACTGTGCAGCAATGTCGTAGGAGGCAGTTGTTGCAATTTCATTAGCTTGTTGTTGCTCGTTACACGATACTATGTAATTAGACACTTTTGAGGGACAGTTGCATGGGCGAAGAAGGGATTGGATTGTTGCTCTTGGGAAAATACCGTAGAACCGGTGCCGATGCAGATGCCTCAATGGAGTTGCCAATTGCAAAGAGTTTGCACCACACACACACACCACTCCCCGTTGGAGCCATCCGGAGTCATCCATCGGAGCCGCTGCACCACTCGGCAAACAGCTCACGCAAGTTGACGTCTCAAAAATAGACTCAAGTGGGAGCGAAGCCCCAACTCCTTCTCTCAAGGAGAAAAAGTCCATGAAGTGCGTTTGTCTTTACGCTGTAAGAAAATATCATTGTCAACACATTTAAATTTAAAATAAATTTTAATACTCTTTGTTGCATTTTCAGAAGTTTTTTAAACTTTATTTCGTTTTAAATAACTTTTATGTATTTGAATTTATCGCTTTTTATGACCAATGAGCTCTTGGATTAATTTTAAAAGTTCCACAAATTCTTGAGAAAAATGAAAACATATGCAAAAGCATACCAATGGGTATGATATCATGTTATAAAATTCGAAACTGGTAATTGCTTTCACACAAAAGTGTTTAAGACTATAACAATTATATATATATGTATGTATATTTGACTCTAAAAATTTAAAAGAAATAATTCGTCGTGCTACAATAATTAAGGTATAGAAATAGGAAATAACTTTCTAGTTTCAGTAAGCCGGAAAAATCGGGTTCCGGTTCATTAGTGCTCTGGTTTATGGTTCGCTTCACTTGCATATTTCATATTTATTTGCTATATGGATGAAAATTGTGAGATACTTAATATATTATATAAAAACACACATAAAAAACAGATAAGAGTTATAGATATTTAATCCAAAATTTAATTCTTATCTTCAGTTCCTTTTTTTTTTGGATGTAAACCACTCTCCTCGTCCGATTAGTAAGCTTATTCCTACCCGTTTTCTGCAACTTAAGTCATTATACATATATATTTTTTTACTGTGTATATCCAGTTGCTCTTTCGCTCTTGCCCTCCATCTCTTTTACGCCAGGAGGGAAACCCGAGAGTTGTATGTTCGGTCTCAGTTTGTTTGACATGCAAGCGGCAAATTATGAGTCGGGGCAAATGAACTTTTCACAAGGCTAATGGGTGGAATTGAGGAGAATGAGGAGGAGGAGGTGGAGGTGTATGCTGGAAAGGTGGCAAACAGGTGACGGCACCAAGGAAGGGGAAATTGTTTGCTCTTCGGCTTGCTTTCCAAACACGGAATTAATGTACAAGTCGCATAAATATTTCTTCAATGATTTTTATATGCTCAAACATAATTGTCGCCATCAAGTACTCACTCTTCTCCTCGGCCAAAGGGAAATCGAAAGGGGGAAAAGGGGGCGGCGTTGTCTCCATTACCACTTTGTAAGCATTTTCTCTTTAGCGGCTGCACTTCTATTATTAGCCCCCAAAACGAAATGTGTATCTCTTCTCCATGCTTTCTGTGTTGTTATTGTCGTTTTTATACAATTTCCTTTGGGCGCTGATAGAGATGGAAAGTTGGAGGAGTCAGAAATCACAAGAAGGGACGTAGTTCATAAATGTGGTTAAGGGGGTTTAAGAGAAATGTATCTTAGTCTTGGGTCTGATGTATCTCATGTATCTTATGTATTCAAATTTACAGATGAGATACTAAACAAAACTTAATCCCCCTCTCACTGTCTGACCTTTGACAGCGCCCCTGACTTTTACTGAAGCAGGAACAAAGTGCACTACGCGCCATGACGTTATTTTGCATGTTCTCGCTCTCCTTCTGTCTTGGTATTCACCCGACTCGATATATACATATATATCTTTAGTATTTGTGGCTGTTCCTGTTTTCGATCAAGCTCGTAAATCCTTTCGTGCTTCATTTTGTTTCGTATTCGGCTTCTTTTTGGTTCAGTTTGTTCGATGAGATTGCACTGCCAGGCCCAGGCGCTTTGATGTTTTTATTTTTTGATATTTTTAGACCGATTCCAGTTCTTAGGTACTCTCTACTTCCCCCAACTTTAGCTTCCCCTTCTCCCTTATGGCGTGTCAATCGAAATAGTAG